AATACATGTGACTAATATTATTTTCTTTCTTATTTTGTGCATGTTATAAGTTATAAATAAATATAAACAAACAACACTTACTTGATAACATTAAATCTAAATACCAAAATGATTAATTTACTATGTTTTTGTTATTTCTTACTCCTGTTTTTAGGTATTCGGTATTCGGCCGAATAGGCCGAATACCGAATAGCAACCGAATATTTCTTACATCACTAATTTTTAAGGCTGCTTCGTGAGAGAGGAATGTAAGTGTAGTCCAAATCAGTGTCCTTTGCAGCTGACTTAGCCTCAAAGTCGTCTTTTTCATTTTTTTAGTATGCCAGTATGGCCAGGAACAAATATAGAAGTTATCTTATTTACATGAGTTTTAATATGGTGCATGATATATGCGATTTTATTGCTATTGCAATTGGGATTTAATAGAGCTTTTAGGACAGACTGAGAATCGCTCTAAATGTTGATAGACAGAGTTTTGTTTGGTAGTGAAGTGGCCCACTAAACAGCTTGGTAGTCAGCATCTTCTTCAGTTTGGTAGATGGAGGTATGTGGGAGGTATCTGTACCTTTTAACATATTTTTGGCATTATATGTCAGTTTGGAGGAAGATACAGATACTTGAGCCGGCAAGAAGGGAGCTTTTGGACCCATCTGAGAAGATATTAATGTTTGCATGATTATCTATGGAGGAAGCAGATGAAAACAAATAACCTTGTTTACAGGATGATGATCGGAGATAGTAAGGTAATTGCAATATGGTAGCATATGAACAGCCGTAGATAGGAGTAGAGATCGTTGTTGAGCCTTGACGTTTGTAGTTCTGATGTAGTAGTTTAAAACCTTTTCTACAATACATAGTGGCAAAGAAAGAAGCTCGGCTAGTATCAGAGAGGCATTAATAAAAACTGTTCTACAGCACTTTGAAATTCTGATGTCAAACTGGCTTTGAAGAGAGAGTAATTTACTTGCTAATGAACTTTTACTAGTTACATGACCACAGCCATAGGCCGCGTAAAGTAGCATTGGTTGTATGGCCCCATTATGTAGAGTTTTATAAGCTTTATTATTTAGTCCCAAGGTGCACGTAACACATTTTAGCAGCGTGTAGTTTATTTCTTGGCCTTAGCCAAGATGTAATCAATATGGATACGGAATGTAGTTACTTTCTATTCTCTCTTGTTTTATTTTCTATGATGTTTCTGTTTACACATGCTCAAGCTAGTCGATCTGACAAAGTTTTTTGCGTCTTTTGCGAACATTAAAATTAATATAAAAATAAATATAATGACGTTGATTAATGATAATAATAATAATAATATTGTTAATAATTAAAAAATAAAGTTTTTAAAATAAATTGTTCATTCGAGTTCATTAAATTTTTATATTTTTAAATATGTTCACATAAAGTCTTTTATAAATAATAGTACATATTAATTAACTAATTAATAATTATATATTTTGAACCTAAGGTGTTTAGGGTTTCATACAAAAAATTCTTTTGGTTAAAATCTTTCTATAAAATCATGCCAAAATATTACGGTTTCTTACACAGGGGTGGGTGGTGGTCTAGAATGGCCGAAATCGCCCTTACGTAATTTATGGACAGCCCCTTAAAACAACCCCCAAAAATCGTGGATCTCACTTTACACTCGCTTATCAGCTTATCCAATTTTGTAAATAAAAGATTAATTAGGTTAAAAAATGTTATTTAAAAATTGATAATTATCGTTTGTGTAATGAATAAATAACACATTGGAAGAATGACAAATAATAAATGAAGACTAATGAAACCAATACGAAATGGGAAAAATCAGACAAAGAATAATTTAAACGGAAATTCAGCACATCACAGTAAAGTACATTGACAAAAGAAAAGAAATATTAAGCAGAAGTCTTTATTCTGAAGAAATAATTAAAATTCATCATATTATAAATTACCGAATATCGTGCAAAACAAATTTTAAAAATATATCTATGAAATTATAAATTATTAAAAAAAATTAATAATATGTCAAAGAATATTTATACATTTAATTTCATATTTCAGTAATAAATAAAATTCACATTTGAATTGTTTAATCAAGATATTTTCTGTTCAATAAAATTCTTAAATTACTTTAAAATTTTTCGAATAATTAGCTTACAAAATTATTTTGAATTATTGTATCAAAATTTATATATAAATTTTCCTACTATACGTTACAGCCAGGCCTATCTTTAGATGTAGACCTACCGGGCCTGAACCCAAGGGCTTAGGGCCTCCAGACATTGGGGGGACATCCTGACATTCGAGAACTCGAAAATATGCAAAATTCAATAGAGCAAGTAGTAGAATTATTCTAAATAGTAAACAACCTAAGTACATATTTGATAAATGTTATTAAACATAAATATAACAATATATCTAGCGCAAAAAGCTAATTAAAAAAATCAATAAACATTAACCCTGAATTATGAATTCCTTAAGAGGGCCACCAAGCTTTTTCTGTCCAGGGCCTCGCAGGTACAAACACGGGCCTGATGACAGCCGGATAGGTAAAACAAAATTATTATATTGTCTTGTTAAAGGCAGCCTGTTGGCAACGATTCTATAATTCTATAGCGTATTTTTGTAATAAAAAAAAGTTGTAGAAATTTCAGATTTTATTCATTCGAAAATTTATACCGCAATTTATTAACACTTAAATAAATAAATAAATTATAACCCTTTTAACTTTTAGTGTTCGCTAACAGAGGGCACTCGTATAGTCCAAATGTGTAGCATCGCCATGGCAACGGACGTGGGTGGTTGCTTTGACCTAGATTTTCCGTAATAAATTTATGTTAGTTTTTGAATGATAAGAAACATTAAAAAGAAACATCCGAATAGAAATCCATAGTAAAAGTGTTCTAAAAGATAAGTATAAAGAAGTTGATATTTCATATTTTCATCTGCATTGGACAGAACATTATCTGGAAATTCATTGTTTGGTGCAAGAATACGGGCAATGTGACAGATAGGAGCAAACTCTTGGTGTCCCACTCCACTGGACTGCAACTATTTTATTAAAAAATAATCATATTTATAAATAATATATTGTATTGTGATATTATATCTATTGTTATTTTATTTATTATATCAGTTTTAACAGGGGCGATAACTCACTTACACAGGACACGAAGTAGTTAGCGAATTTACAAGATTTTTAAAGTTTTACGATTTTTAAATTGATCTGTCCACGCTGTTCATAAATTTGGCCAGCCAAGTGAAGAATCTAGGCTTAGCCATTTATCCCGCACTCGGTAAAGTCCACCCATTTCAATTGTTATGAGCGTGTCTAATATTAACTTTTCGAAGCGAAAACTTCAGAAAAGACTTCACCTGGATTTCGCGAACTCCCATTTCCGGCCGTTAACCTGGAAGGGCGATATATTGGATATTATTATTAGGAACTTATATATTAAATAAATGTTAACAAAATATTTACTTAAATATAATTCTTACAATGATATTGTGGAAATTAGAAGCTTCATTGCGGTTTTACTGCGACAGGTAGCACACCGCACACTTGCTTGAGTAAAGTATAGTCGTGTTTTGCTCCTGTAAATCGTACATTTTTGTTAGCAAGAAAGTCGTGCCAATTATCTAACTCCTTTCGGGAAAAAAGTTTTTGAATTGAAATAACGTGACCATCGGTTTGCATTGGAAAGTTCTTGTATAGTTAACCTCAGAGCCTTCTGACCCTAAGGTTTCCATATCTGGTCTGTTCTTTTATATATGTAACTCCGTTCTCGAAATTAACTAATAATAGATGAAGAGTCAGTTGAGACTGGCAGTTTATAGGTCTAACAATTTATGTAAATTGCAGTATAACCCGCAGTCATTCTAAGAAGCGAACTCTGACCTTAGGACTGAACACGTAGTTTCTTCTATGTTAAATAAAATTTGTAATCTAATTTTGTAAATTTCGGAGTGCTTCAAATATGACGTTAAAACGGTTTTATGTCATTACAAATGGGTTTTTTAACATTATCTAGTAAAGTACAATCGTAGGATCGATATAAATTTGACGTTATATTCGGGTTGTCGTTACATTCGATGACGTTATAATCGGGTTAAGCTACTTTCAAAGCTGTTTGTTTTTTGCAATTCACAGGTGTTATCCTATCGTTTTCTGCACAACTGAAGCGAAAATTATGAATAATTAATGGCTTTTATGTTTTGTTTAATTTTATTTATTAGCATGCAATTTAATAAAATTATAGACTCATTTATTTATAAGACTTATTATAATGGTTTAGTTCCTTAGTAGCAAATAGAAAATAACGTATTTTAAAGTAAAAACAAAATATCTTTATTTACACAGAAACAGAAACGACAGCAGAATAATAAGTCTTAATAATAAACCAGATTATTTAATGTGACATATTCGAGAAAAACGTTATATTATTAAAGGTAAAAATATCCGTTTGATTTCGATCTTTTATAATCGTGATAATATCACAATAAATAATTTATTGTTTTCGCTTATAATTTAGTTGTTGAGTAAATTGCTTCCCGGGTTTTTTGTTTTTTATTTCTCTTCTCCCTCTTTTATATTATATAAGGCGCTACTTCCGTCGAGAAAACGTGCGAATAAAAAACGGATTTTTCTGTTTCCAAAATAATACAAATGGTGTCAAAATTCCTGACTAGAGGGAACGTTGTCGTCTGCTTGAATACATTTTATTAATGGAACATGCGGCTGATTGAATGAGCCTTGCAGAGACTTGAGTAAACTCATGCAACAAATAGAACGTAAAAATGCGTTTAAGTTAAAACAACTGTTTTTATTTCTTTTATATTGTGAACGGGATGTAACAATATACTTGATATATTGCCACATCGCATCTTAATATTTCAGTATTAAGCGTTATGTTATAAAACTTTTAGCCGATTTAACTAATTTTCAAGGTGTTATATAAATGTTTGTTTCGAAAAGAATAAAATTAGCCAGAAATCTAGATTTTCATACAGTAGAATTGAATTTATGTTTTATTCCTTTTTCGTAAATTTACATCAAACAATTTATAATATTTTATTGGGATTTACACATTTTGCTTCCATATCTCCACTAAGAATTTTCAATAACGTTACGAAACTGGTTTTTATCTTCTCGATAATATTTGTTTCTATATGATCTAAAGCAGATTTAATATCTAATTTTAGAATGTTATCGATCAAATCACAATTTATAACTCCAAGACGGCTATAGGAAGAAATACTAGTAATACATTCGATTACTTTTTCTGTAAGATTTCTTTTAACATCTTCTAATATAAACCTTACTCTAGCAGCACTCAGTGTTGCTAGACAGTTTGCAAATTGCACTAAATTAGCCGTATCATTTTTGTAACAAACTTTCTTTAACAAACACGATAGATATGTTACACTTGACATCACGTTACTTACGCCGTTTATTTCATTTTCACAGCCGAGTGAAGGGAAATTATTCGAATCCAGACACTGCGGTAACCCAGTTGTTATATTCTGAAAATATCAAGAAAGACTGAAATTTAAAAAGAGAATCTCTGACTACTTTTTAAGATATAATTCCTAGTTAATAAAGAGAAGTGTAAGTATTAAATATATCTTACAATAAAATTTTACCAAACAATACAGGTAATTGTTAAAAAAATATTAATTACAAATTAGAGTTAAAGCATTTTAATGTGTTAATTAATTATCAGCTGTTAACAAAAACCCTTTTCTAAAGTCTGATAATTAATTAAAATACGTAAACACTGATTAGAAACGAATTATGTTATAATTATTATCGTAAATTTTTTATTAGGAATGCATTTTCTAAATGAATGCGAAATAATGATTGTTTCATTTGTTTCGCCATGATTAATCAAAATAACGTTACATGTTATAATGACTCACCTCCATCAATAAGAATTACATTTAAAAGTTCATCAAAAATATTTATCAGAATTTCGGTATACAAAAATTAATAATGAATATTTTAAGATAAAACCACAATTATAAATAAACAAGTTGCCTTTCTTACAAAAATACTTTAGATTATTGCAATAAATATGATTTTGTCATACTGAAACATAAACTGACAAGTGTTATAACTGTTTAAATAATATTTCGTAGATAAATATCCTATATCTAGAAATACCGAGAACAGACCAAGTTTCTATAATAACTCTAGTGCAAATTGAAACGCTATACAGTATTAATTACTTATATTAATTAAACGTTTTTACTTACAATAAGTGCTACTTTCACCTCTTCAGTCAATTGAGGAAATAAAGTGTCAAAATCAAGATTTTCCTTCAGAATAACCTCAATAAATTGACTGGATAACATATAAATTCCGGGTTGTTTTGGAATTAAAGCTTAAAAATAAATTACAAATAAAGAACAAATATTAATGTCGTGAAAAAGAACAAATTTTATAATCTAAAAACAAGGAAATAAATAAATAAGTACTTAAAATGAAAAACGGCAGCAAAAACTTCATCATGATTCTAACTTGCAACTGAAAAGCAGAAGAGAATGCGCAATTTGAGACTTCAATTAGCAATGACGAATTATCTTCTATGACACTAATTTATATATTTTAATATGCACAAGTAGTGATTTGACGTCACATAGATGTATACAGCGCGATATTTGCACCTGTTTCGGTTGTAAATTCTACACACGTACTTTTCAAAATATTTTTAAAGTTAACAAATAAAATTATGAATTTACTATTTAAATTTTGATTAGATTTAAAATGTTTTCAAGTAAATGTTTTTTAAAATTAAAAAAAAAAAATTATATATTAACATGAAATTATTTTTTTGTCCATTCATCACACAATTTTATTTTTGATTTGTTTAATTTAAAATACGTTCTCCACCACAAATTACTAGTGGTTTTCCTCTTTATATCGTATATCGTACTTTTATTGTAGTAATTATCATGTCGTCTTCTATTTATTTCCTTACAGAGGAAAATGTCTGAATTAAAATACAGTCACTTCAGGATTGTATGGGACGTTCTTAAAAATTGACTATAATAAGCGAAATATAATTTTCGAGTCTATAATTTTATAAAATTATCTATTTTTAATTTTTATTTTATCTGCATTTACAATAAACTACACGTCAGCAATAGCAGCTAATACTTGTCAGTAAAGAGAATAACAAATAGTTTTGGAAGTACTTCCAGACCAGAGTTTCTCAACGGGGGCGATATCGCCTTAATTTGGGCATTTTTCCATGTTGAGGAGGAGATTAGTTACAAATTCAATTTTGGGGGCGAAAATCGATTTTCTAGACGATATAGTGAAACATTATATTAAGAATAATTAGATATTTTATTCGTTATATTGTGCAACAATTAAACAAATAACATTATACCAGTCACTAGTCCATTGAATGCAGTACGAATTATGCGTTAGCCTTGGCCCTCGGCATCGGAATTTTGAAGTGAAGGGGGCGATACTACGTAACGGTTTTATTGAAGTGGTCGATACTATGTTGAAGGGAGTGACGATTTGTTACAGGTTGAAAAACACTGTTCTAGACTTTCAAAGACGTTTAGGAAGACAGATAAAGTTTTTTCCCTTACCTCCGGAGATTATTCATTTCCACCTTCGTTACGATTTACAAATAATCAACCAATTAACAATAACCTCAACTTGTTACATGATAGAGGGTAACGAAAAAGGTTACCGACATGGATAAAAGGAACCAAACAAACTCTCCTTCCTCTATTACAGTATTTCTCAACGGGGCGATATCGCCCCATGTGGGCGTTTTATTATGTTGAGGGGGCGATTTGTAACAATTTATATTTTGGGGGGCGAAAAACAATTTTCTGGGCGATATAGTAAAACATTACATCAAGAAAAATTAGATATTTTATTCGTTATATCGTACAATAATTAAACAAATAACATTATACTAGTCACTACTCTAATGCAATACGAATTTGGCGTTAGCCTTGGCCTTCGGCATCGGAATTTTGAAGTGAAGGGGGCGATACTACGTAATGGTTTTATTGAAGGGGGCGATACTACGTTGAAGGGGGCGACGATTCGTTAGAGGTTGAGAAACACTGCTCTATTACGTTCGATGTGACGATGAAAAAACAAATCAAGATGGCCATAAAAGGCAACAATTATTACTAAGATGCAAGAATAATTATGACCTTAGTCACCTCTAGCAATTAATCTTGTTACTTTGACAACTGTTATTAAATTTATTAGAGGGTAGAAGTGACAATACTTGATAGAAGAAGTAATAAATGTACAGAAAGATTCGGATGTTTGACAGCTAACATAAACAATTCCGGACAAGACGAAATTACATGGATTTGCATCAGAATGTTTCCCGATTTTCCTCTCCCTCCGGGGTTAGTACAGTCCTTCCCCCTCCGCTGAGACACAGTCCTCCGGGCGGACGTACACAGCTGATAGCATCTGGGGACATTTACAGCGGACACCAGACCCCTACCGCCATTCTGTCTGTCGCCACCTGTCATACCTGCCGTCTCTATCCGAAGATAACCAGATGACTACCTCCCAAGTCCACGATAGTCTAGACGATGTCGTATACCAGAGTGAGAGATATTTTTAAGAAATTTTGACTCTCGCTCTCCGAGACATCCCTCTCAGAGAGGTTTCTCTCATCTCTTACAAGTTAGATTAACTTCAAGAATAGAACGTAGATGTTCCATTGGAAAGACTAATCGTTGTCGCGAGCTAGAATAGAATTTCTGATTATTTCGATTTGTTCCGTTTTTGCTTTTGCTTTCGATATGTATAATTTTATAGTTGTTTATTAAACGTGTTATTTTTTATCAACTTGTGTACTTATTCGAAACCTGTCGACGTACAGTACTCATTGACCTCCCCAGTCACATTTTTAGCCCTTTTAAAGCTATCCTCTGACAGAGTCGCCGGAAAGCGGGGTTACTCTGCTCCCTTGGATCTTGCAATAGGAAATAGAACTGCACAGTAAATAGTTACATGAAATAAACAAATAAAGTAAAAAGACAAATTAAAACTAAACTATACTACAGTTTTGTGAAAACGATTACTTGTATGTTAAAAGAAATAAACAGTTTATTTTCATATAAGATANCAGGTGTTATTCTATTGTTTTCTGTACAACTGAAGCGAAAATTATGAATAATTAATAATATTTTTATGTTTTGTTTAATTTTATTTATTCGCTTGCAATTTAATAAATTAGTAGGTTTGTTTATTTATAGGACTTATTATAATGGTGTCGTTCCTGTTTAGGAAATAGAAAATAACGTGCTTTAAAGTAAAAAGAAAACAGACACTTTCACATTTCGTAGATGAACACCCCAATATTATTAAATGGGAACACCGCACTATCGGAATGTCAATTTTCGGTTTAGAATTACAATAAGCACTGAATTCGGCTACTCTCATAGTACGCTATCAAGTTTGTCATACAGTTAATAAAAATAGAAACCATAAGTAATCTCTTTCTTCTTACGTCGTTGTGCGATTTGTCGGACACCGAACGGGGGGCAAGTCGATAACGAGGACACATAGACGTAACGGGCAAAAAAAAAAAAAATAGTGAGTTGGGACTCTGTTCCACGAAGTGTTATTGCAGACATCTAAATTATAAATCAAAACAAAGATTGCTTAACAATATCGTCTAATATTATTAGTCACATGTTGACAGATCAGAGCCTCTGTGCCACAGTAACAATCAAACCCGGAAGAATAACAAAATGGGTCGTCTGTTGTCAGGAAGGTAAAGATGAAAATTGAACCGTAAATCACGACTAGATAGAATACATTTTAGCATGACGAAAGTAAATCGTACCTTCACAACGCGGGATGGGGCGCGATAATTAAAATAATGATAGACTTTTCACGTAAAGTATAATTCCTTCTTTTGCAATCAGATAAAAAAAATTTCGAAAAAGTCAAGATAGTAGTGCTACCCTTCATGGTCACAGTCGGAAAGGACCTCGGAAGCCAGGTAGAGGACAGGAAACGACAAACAAAAACACTGAAAAAAATCTGGGTTAGTGAACGACCCAGTTCACATGGACGACAGCCTAGTTATAAGTCGAGGAGAGAGGACGGAGATTTCCGCTTAACGAACAATCAATTACCTCGTGCCAATTAATATATTGGCACGAAATCGAACTCGTGCCAATCTCCTTTCATTCAGCCCGAAATTACAAAAAAAACGAAAGAAAGTAAAAAAAGGCTCCTCCTTAAAAATTAGTTATATGCAAAGCGTAACTAAAATAACCTCGTCAATGTGAATAAATTTATATCGGGTCTCTGATAGTATATCATGGAGATTCTCCACGTGTATACGACAGTTTTCAACACTATTACTTGTGTATTAGGAGAAATAAACAGTTTATTTCCATATAACACAAAAATTAAATTTAAAAATAATACGAATAACTTTAAACTTTTTCTCTGATAAATGCCAATATGGCCGTTTTGACAGGAGAAATGTTTAAATAGCAAACAACAAAGGCAGATTCCAAGCTCGTTAGCTGTAATAAATATATCTAATCGTTTAACGATCAATTATCATATTTTACTTATAAATTTTTACTTTCGTCTGTGTGTTTTTCCGTAATTTCTAGGACAGAGAAAAACGGATAAAAACGACACCAGATACAAAAATATTACAAAAAAGGTCCCGATTCACTTCTGCTACAAACCGGAAATCACGCTGTTACGATTCAAAAATTTTCCTCGTTATATTGTTAGAAAGATAACCGGAAAAACTCTATTAAAGGAGAAGTACGATAGAGCAGAAGTGTCCAACCCGCGGCCCAAGGCAAGTTCCAACGCGGCCCAATAAACGTGTAAACAAAACCGACAAATGTTTTAATTTCTTTATTATTTATTTATTTCAATGTCATAAACTGAAATAAAAAAAGTTTTACAAAGTCTTAAATCTTTACTCATATTTTATTTTTGAGTGGAAAAATAAATATTTTCAAATATTTGGAGATGTGTGAATGAGGAGTGATTATTAAATAAAGCTGGAGTTGTGACTCAAAAAATTATATAATCCCGCGGATTTTTTTAGGTCTCTTAAAAATCTAAATTTTCTGTTAATTGTAAATATCCTCGGAAAAAACCCGAAGAATTTGAACTAGATCGGATTTCACCGATTGTATAACAACTAGCTGGAAAAGTTTACACTTAGGAGTAAAGAATGCACCTTCATTGTCAACAAAAGTCAATCACGTGTCAGTTTTCTCACGCTAATGATATAAAAGCGCGAATCCCTGAAAGCTCGGCGCGATCTCTCGGAAGTTATACTTGTCGATGTGTGCATCTCGTCTCCAGGACCTCCATATAACGGACTCGACCCGATAAAAAGAG